CATAGTCAAGTATTTACCCTCTAGATTACCATCCATCTCATCAAATATTAATTGAGCATACTGCATTACGGCTTGAGAACCGCTCAACTGTTGAACTAAGGACAGGCACAGCAACGTTATTAGGGCTCTGCAATATTATTCGAGCAAATTTATCGATTAGATCGTTCTATTATCAAAATGTTTTAAAAGTTGTTATAACTCTAAACACTGTGTCCGTTGCGAAATAGATGTTGTGAAACCCTGTAACTTTTGTTTAAAATTTTCTCAAAAATGCTTACTTTTCAAGATATTTGAAGGGTCCAGGATTTTTTGTTCATTCTGTCTGTGTGTATATATATATATACACACACACACACAGACAGAATGAACAAAAAATCCTGGACCCTTCAAATATCTTGAAAAGTAAGCATTTTTGAGAAAATTTTAAACAAAAGTTACAGGGTTTAAAAACATCTATTTCGCGTCGGTTAGACACGTTAGATAATGCTAATATCGATGAAACTTCCAAACTTTGTAACTTGAAAAGTATTTAATGATAAATAATTTTATAATAGCGTTTTGAAGAGTTCTTGACAGCTATCAGATTCTGGCATCAAAAATAAGGTATTAAAAAAAATCGATTTGACCTTGACATAATCTTGACGATGCCATCCAAGGTCAAACGAATGTGATCAATGAATAGATCTTTTTAAACTCTATAACTTTTGTCTCAAACATTTTTCTCAAAAATGCTTATTTTTTAAGATATTTGACGAGTCCGGGACTTTTTATACACCCTGTACACACGCGCGCGCGCACACACACACACACACACACACACACACACACAACACACAAGAAATTATTAACAATAGAATTTTTTAATGTTCTCCAACGATTACAATACAATTATTTTATACAAACATAAAAAATGACTTATACATAATACTTATTTGTAAATCTTTTTAAATCCAATATCTAATTTTTATTCGTGGTAACAGGAAATCTTTGAAAGTTTTTGTGATTTGTGAATTAAAATTTTATTAATTTATGTTGATAAAACAACAAACAGAAATTTTTTTCTTCAGAAATTTGACTTCTTACCTGCGATTTCCTGGTATAAATAGGAGTTCATGGATACTAGCTTTATTAGCCAAATCGTCTTTTACGAATTGCTCAATACTGTCTGCCTCCTTGTAAACATCCTCTTTGCCTCTCAATTGAATAAGAGAGTTTATGGCTTTTTGCTTGGTGTTGCAACGCATCAAGTGATATGGGGATTCCGGTAGCCAGATAAAAGTGACCAAAAACAGACATGGTCCCGCCAAAGAGACGAGAGCGAGATTTCTCACTGAAAGAAATGAACCTATCGTGAACTCGATCAAAATACCGAGTTTCCCAGCGACTGCCAGTATAGATCCCAAATTGCCGCGAATGTCAGCCGGCGAAATCTCGCTCACATACATCGATGTGGACATAGAAATAATGCCCACAGCTAGTCCGGATATAAATCTCGATATGTATAGCTCCTGTGAAATGACAGAAAAATAAAAAGATTGAACAGACAAAATCGATCATTTACTTCGAGCAACTTTATCTTCCGGATTCAAGAAGATACCATGATCTCTTTTTTTAATAGAATAATATTACACAAAAACTTATCATGTATATTTGTTTATATATGAGATTTGTAAGCACATATCTTTTTATATATATTTATATTTATATTTTTATATTTATTTATAAGCTTTGCTTATTTATTTGCTTTTATACAGTTTCCAAAGTCCATAATATCGCTTTTTTGTGGATTTAATTAAGAAATTAAAATAGATATATAATAAATACTCATATTATCTAAATATTGTCCAAATGAGAACTATAGTAGGTTTTTTTTTAAATAGCATTTAGAGTTTGCGTAATTACATATTTTTATATATTTTAAATATACTTATTTTATAATATCAATTGATTCTCTCTAGAAATTTTTCTTACAGTGGAATCAAACGCTATAATCATTTGTAAAGTGCAAGCTTATTATTATAATTGTAAAAATAATTTTCAAATAATTTTCGCGTTAGAATTACAGCGTGTAATAAAGTAATAAAGTGTGGAACTTAAACCGAAAGTCGCGAGATATTCAAAGAGGTTCAAGAAATGTAGATTATATTGTTAAAAAAACTATAGAGTGTACCTAAATGTATCTTTAAAATGTTCTCCCAAATTTCAAGAAATTTTTAAAAAATTGAAAAAACTTTTCTTGAAAGACTAGAAGAATCACGTAATTATAAATATTCCCAGAAATGAGTGATTAACCAATTCCGAATCAACGCTGATTCAACATTGATCGATATCAATCGACTAATCCTTTCTAGTTGAATTATGATCCAGTATAGAACTGAAATCTCACGAATATTTTAAATTTTAACTTTCAATGTTTTTGTACATCCAACATATCATTTTGTAAAAAGTACTTGGATATATTTAATGAACATTGCATATTAAATTACCCACGATGATGTTGCGAAGACTATTAACAACCAGGCAATTATTGAGGGCACAACCGTAAATAACATGGTCTTCTTCCTGCCGATGATATTCACAATCAATGCAGAAATAATGCTACCTGCGGCGGCACCAATACTAAGTAAAGCTGTCACCCAAGAGGCTTCTTCTACGTTTAAACGTACAGGATATTCAGCATCACCACCATGTAGCAATAAAGGCAAAGATGGCGATGCCCAACCGACAAATAAGGCCACTGACAGCATACCTAAATTTCCTATTAAAATAATAGGGTTTAAACAAGTTTTAATATATATCATATGTTTTATTAATTAGGCAAAAGAAGACAATTTCACAAAGAATCTCAAGCATCCTGATGAACACAAAAATCAGAGCGTAAGCCGAATATAATGGGAGAGTAACAGAAGCGTAAATAAAACTTCTAGAAAAAACAATTGAAACATCAAAATGCAAAAGAAGAAAAAAAAATGCTTCTTTTATGTTTCATTGTTCCAATTTTCGTCTCCTAGAAGTTTCATTTACGCTTCTGTTACTTTCCCATTATGTTCAATTTATGCTCCGATTTTTATTTTCATTAATGATTATCAAAATTAATCAATTAGCAAACAAATTGAATAGGAATATTTAAACGTATTAAATAAAAATAATTTAAACAAATTTCAATTATAAAAAAACGCTTAATTTATTTTACATAATAATTAAATAAATATTCAGCACAATGCTGTCGAGATGTCTTTCTATTCTGCAATTATCCCAATATATACATACCTGCTGCAGCAGCGAGATATAATTTCTTCATGTTTTCACTACAATCACCTACCGTCGTGTACAAATAATAAATGAATGAATTTGTAACGATGAATACAGTATTTTTATTCAAGTGATGCAGATAATATAATATCAGTTTCATCTAAAGCATTTCAAGAGATAGATATAAAATTATAATCGTCAGACGATATGTAAAAAGGGGAATATTAATGTCCTAAAATTTTTGAAACGTTTTATAAAGTAATCAGAAAAACACTTTATTACATCTATTTAAAAAAGACATTTTTTAAACGTTTACACGTATCTTGTCTGACAATTTAGAAAATTTTTACATAATCTTAATTATCAAATATCATATGTATAATTCAAATTTATACTTTAAATATCTTATATGTTATGTACGTAATTTTTATTGCAAAATACTAATAAAAATATTATTGTATCTGTACTGACAAAAGAATTATGTAAGGTGTTCAAAAAAGGTGATACTAAACTTTAGGAATACGTAATAATTGTGAAAATAAATCAAAAAGTCTTAATAAGCAGAAATCCAAAAACCACCCAAGAAAAAATGTTCTATAATGGACATATTATATGTATAATTATACATATAATTATATAAAATATGCCAATTTTATATAATTATAATTTTATATAATTATATATAATTATATATAAAAAATAAATTTCATTATATATACAGCAGATATTCAATGTGCTTCCTTCCGTTCATTTAAACACACAATTCGGCACATCTTTTCATTGAAGATCAAACACGTTCAAAGATTCCAGGATTCCATTTTATCTCGTATTGTTGACAAGAGTATACAGTTTATATGTCGAACCAAACACTGTCAACGATAAGGCAAACGTTTGTGGATGAATAACATTGACGGAGAATTAAAAACTGTTATCAATAAGTAACGAGCTTAGAAGCTCATGAAGGACGAATGTACGAATGTGTGTAAAAAAGTAGAAAATTCTTTATAACTTGGAAATAAATAGTTCTGCTAATTAAGATTTTTTAATTTATATTCACGAGTACTATATATTCCTAAAATTTGATTACGCTTTTTTTTAACACTGTATAATATTACTGTTTTGGTTTCTTTTTTATCATATTATCTCATCAGAATATTTCATCTATCATAAAAGATTATCGATATAATAGATAGAAAAGATAAATAAACAGCAGCAAAGTATCAACAAAAACAGCATAATTAAATTGTAAAAATATTTTTAAGAAATTATTTATTTATTATAATCACATTTATAATCATATTTATTATAATACACTCATGTATTTTTTGGCATGAATTATATTTTGATTAAAATATTCAATATTTAATTTTATTAATATTAACGCAATTTTAATATTAATAGACATTGATAATAAATAGACCTTTCTTTTCTCTTTTATCAATATATTATATAATTAATTATTATTTCAACGTTATATAACATTAATTATATCTTTACACAAACACTTCACATTTGATATTGATTTCAATAAATATATAAAACTCTCTCGGCATGGTATTATAAAATTTGTTCGATTTATCAATGTCATGACGAATCTTAATTTATAATATCAATAACATATTATATGTATATGTATATGTATAAATTATCAGCTTATTCTCATAGAATTAGCTATCATTAACTATAAAAAAAATTATTGTAAATGTGTTTTTACTCAATATATATATATATATATATATTTGCTTTATGTTTCAATAATGTTTGTCAGATCTAATTCCGTTAGTTTTTTTATAGGATTACATAAAAATGAGATTTCTTAAGTTGACTCTACAGCACCAAATGTTCTGTTTTATATCTTTGGTACACTATAGTTTAAAAACTATCCATTATTAAGCCTCTATTACATTTTATGATCTGGAAAGATTTTTCAATCTTGTTTTCGTCGATAAAACGCGAATATTTTGTAAATTAATATTCTTCAAATATTTATCAAGAGAAGATCGATATGTTCATTCTCAAATTCTTTTCATTTCGACGGATTATGCAGTTTTTTCTGTATTTCTTCCAACGTCTTGCCTTTAGTTTCAGGTACGTAGAAAAACGTGAATATAGCAGCGACAAAACAGCACGCGGCAAATATCCAGAACGGCGTGTGCATCCCGGCACTTTCACTTATGATCAGATATAAATTCGTCACGACAAACGCTACGATTGTCATCGTCATCATACCTATCATATTGCCGAGGGCCTTCACGTTCATGGAAAATAATTCGCCGGCCATGGTGAACGGTAACACTGACAAACCGAGGCTATACATGACTATGAATAAGATCACGCCTGTAGCGGGTAACCATGTTATATTGCTGATATCCACGTGATTGTATTGAAGATGAAAATATATTGCGATTATGGCAGTGGAGCACATCGTACCGACAGCGGAGATCGTCAACAATAACTTCCTGCCACTGCAATCAGTGATAATCATGCAGATAATCGTGCAGACTAGTTGTATGATGCCCAGTATTATAGTCAAGTATTTGCCTTCCATATTACTGTTCATCTTATCGAAAATTATTTGAGCGTACTGCAACAGAGCTTGAGAGCCACTCAACTGTTGAAATGTCACCAGACATACCAATGTTGTTAAGGCTCTACAAAATTATTCAATCGAATTTATCAGTTAAATTAATCCAGTTAATCATTAATTCTGTACATTAAAACAATAATTTTAACTTTATTAAAAGTTATTATAACTCCGAATTTCTTAAAGATTATTAATACTAAAATTTTTTAATATTTATCTAATATTTTACTAATATAATCTAATATTTATTTGTAAAGTCACGGTAAAAAAAAATCGAAAGTTTCATATTAATTCGCGAATATAACCGCAAACAGTTTGCTGGAAGATTGGCAGCAAATTTAATTAGACTCCTACTGCAGATCCATAGCAATCTGTGTCCGCATTAAGTTCAGAATCTATCGACAGAGTCTGTTGACATGTTATATACTAGTAGATTGATAGCAGAAAGCAGAATCTGCGTGGGTAATAACGGCAGATTGACAGTAGAAACCAAGCAAGAGCTGCAAATCCTGCTCATTTCTTCCGCAAATCCGCTGGCATCCCTACTGAAAAAAATCATGTCACAACGTTACATGATGAAATCATGTAATTAAAACATGTAAATCACGTAACGGATTGTTCCAAATCAGTACATGATTTTTTTAAACGATGTAATTTGAAAAATCACATAATATTAGAAATAATTTTGTCCATCATGTGATTTTATAGTTATCAAATTTTAAAGAATTGAATGATAGAAATAGGAGAAAAAAGAATATATCATCATGTGACTCTTCAAAATACATAATTTTAACATCACGAACTGATTTGGAACAATACGTTACGTGATATACATGTTTTAATTACATAATTTCATCATGCAACTGTCTAACGTGATTTTTTTCAGTAGGCTATACATAGCATGGCAAACAAACATTAATTGTCATATCCCTATTAAAAAAAGATCAAAAGAAACGATAGGAAATAATTCAGTCATTTTTACTCACAGTTACTTATGAATCGAAAATTAGCAAAAGAATATCGTAAGTAAAAATTATGAAAGAAAACAATTTGCTATCATTTTCTTTCATAATTATCTTATTTATTACATTATCGTTTCTTATTCAATATTCTTTTCATAGCTCAGAAACGTAGTTGCGTAACAAAATCATAAATCCACAAATAATTCTTCATCGTTTTTTTTTTTTTTTCATAACTACTTTACATGTTATATTAATATTTTTCTTCATAAATAAATAATTATGAATATACAGAAATTTATTGAGTTTTGGTATTAATATTTCAGATGCTATTATACATATTAATACATTTTTATACATATAACTTTTATAAATACATATAACTTTTATATATATAACTTTTATACATATAACTTCCAGGAATTATTCTGAATTAATTTTTGTTGCAGAATTAAAAACTCGAAATACATCTCTTGTTTACTATCGTTTTCGAATTTAATTTGAGAATTCGTATTCAAGAAATTATGAAGAATCTCAGAACGCTATATTTTTTATCCTATTCTGTATGATTCTACTTATGAGAAATAGAACTCCGATTCATTTGATGACAAGACCGCGTAATGCTCGTGTACTAATTCCCGTTGTTTAACTTTATGATAAGACATGTAAGATATATTTTGAATTAACATTCATACACGATAAGTAAAAACAATTTTTATAAATCGTAATAATATGATGATAGGAAAAACATTATAAGAAGAACGATCACGTATGAATAAATCGAAAGTAAAGAATACCGAACGGTCAAAGTTAGATGTTACGAATATATTTAATCAATTTTTTTGTTCTAAATGTGATTGCGCGCCGATAATTGTCGGATTTTCAACACAATCATTATGAAACGTTTTAATAATCCCCTCTAAATAAAATCCCTAAAAATGATGAAAAAATATCGCAACGTTCGTTGTTACGATTATATGATCGATTACAAAATGGTTTCTGTTATAATTTTATAAAATAAATTTTGAATCATCTGTTAATAAATTATTAACAATTTAAATTTTCTTTCAAAATTGTAAAGAATAATAAATTTGTAAAAGAATATAAAATAAGATTTCTATTGTTTTCCAACTGGATTAAATCGGTTTTCAGATAATGATAAAAAACGATAATGATAAAAAACGATTTTTTTTGGAATATAAAAAGTGAAACAATATAGATAAATGATAAGATTTTTGGCAGATATATATATATAGATTCCTATCGTTTCCTATCAGTTTTATGCTGGGGATTTCCGGCAATTTGCCGAGATCGTCAGATATATTACACTTTCCAGACTTAATCATCTGTATAAAGTTTGATATCTTACTGTCAACAGAAATTGATAACATATACTGCTCAAAATTTATCTCTACAAGTTTTTGGCTTACTATAAGAATTACTGATACATTAGATCTGTTTTTTGTCTCCTGTACTAGACTGTACTAGAATTCTCTTTCTTGCTTTCGCTAAATATCGAACATATTCCTATCTCTTTAAATTTCAAATATTATTACTAGTATACTCATATATTATATTAGGTGTTGGAATTAATTCGTAGCGTTTTTTAATGAAAGAATGTTATTTATTTCACATGAGCATTAAAAAATACATTAATGAAAGTACTTCCCATCACTTGTAAAACGCTACGAATTAATTCCAACACCTAATAATTCAGCCACAAAAAACATACCTAATAATGACAGATCGAAATGTGACGCCTTACCTGCGATTTCCCTGTATAAATAGGAGTTCACGAAGACCAGCCTTGTTAGCCAAATCGGCTTTTACAGATTGCTCAATGGTATCTGCCTCCTTATAAACATCCTTTTTGCCTCTCAATTGAACAAGAGAGTTTATAGCTTTCTCCTTGGCATCGCAGCGTATCAAATAGTACGGAGATTCTGGTAACCAGATAAAACTGACCACGAACAGACAAGGTGCCGCCAAAGAGATGAGAGCGAGATTTTTCACCGAAAGAAACGAACCTATCGTGAACTCAATCAAAACACCAAGTTTCATAGCGACTATCAGCATGGATCCCAAATAACCGCGAATTTTTGCTGGCGAAATCTCGCCCAAATATATCGGCATGATTGAAATATGCATGCCCATAGCCAGTCCGGATAAAAACCTCGATATGTATAGATCCTGCGAAGCAAATAAAACTTATCAAAAGAAGACTTTGCTAAGAAGAAAAACATTTCTTGTTAATTAAAGATCGAGATTTTAAGTTTGATTTCATATTACAGCGAAATAAAGTTGCAAAAGAGTCTGGAATTTAAACTGAAAGTCGCGAAATATTCAAAGAGATCCAAGGAAAATAGATTATGCTAGCAAAAGCTAGAATTATATATAATTTAAATGTACTTTTAAAATGTGCATATTTCTATAAAGTAAGTCTTCAAGAAATTGAAAAAACTTAGAAGAACTTTATTTGAAAGATAAGAAGAATCAGGAATATTTATAATTCAATGTAGAATACTTATAGCTCACGAATATTTTAAATTTTAACTTTTAATACTTTTATACATTTTCTAAAAAAATACTCGGCTGTTACACTCAATATAGCTATTACCGTTGATGATGTTGCGAAAATTATCAGCAACCAGCCAATTACCGCAGGCACAGCTGAAAATAGCATGGTGTTCTTTCTGCCGATGATATTCACTGTTAATGCAGAAATAATGCAACCCGGGATGGCACCAAGAGTAAGTAAAGATGACACCCAAGAGATTTCTTCCAAGTTCAAACGCACGGGATATCCAGCATTATCACCATTTATTAATAAAGGCACGGATGGCGATGACCATCCCATATTTAAACCCACTGACAACGAACCTAGATTTCCTATCAAAATAAAAGGTTTCGAAGAATTAAGTTTTAATATATCACAAATTTTATTTATAAAGATTCTTTATAGATTTCATTTGAAAAATTATTCTCTATTCGTTAATTTCACTCGCACAATTCTTTTAATTCTAAGTTTGTTTCTACAGCTAAAGAAATATTTTAATTTAAAGTTGGCATAATAAAATATAAAAATTTCTGATAAAATTTTACTCCCAATGTCGTACCTGCTATAGCAGCGAGATATACTTTCTTCATGTTTTTGCTACCACCGTGTATCGCGTTCAAATATCAAATGATTGAGTTATAACGATGAATAAATTCTTATTTAGATGTAGATAATATCTTATCAGCTTTATCTAAAGCGTTTCAAGAAATTAATATCACGTTTGCCATTAGCAAACGAAATAATAAACTGCATAAATATTAATGTCCTAATATTTATTAAATTTTATGAAATTGTCAGGAAAATTATTTTATTATATCTTTAGCTGATATATTCATTAATATGGCTCTTTGGCAGAAATTTATAAGCCGGTATTCATAATCGATTCTTATATTTAAGACTGTCTTAAATACAATCTTAAAATTTTATGAACTAAAAAGGTGTATTAACATCTTAAGATATTACATACGATAGTTTGGAAATAAAAATGAATTACAAATGTCTTAAGATGCTAATATGGCTCTGTGATTAATTTATAATATCTTAAGACTGTACTTAAGATAATTTTAAATATAAAAACCGACACACAATAAGAATACCGACCTGTGATTACAGATATGTAAATTATTTATAACATCTTAAGATTGTACTTAAGGTAGTTTTAAATACAAGAACCGACAGTCAATATCGGTCATTATCTTTTGATAAA